TGGGCGCAAGGCGCGGGGGGCTGGGGGAGCCTGCTCGGCCGGCTCCGAGGGCCTGCTCGCCCCGCCCGTCCCCTGGGCCTCCCAGCGCCTAGAAACTCCTCTTTTCTCCTTTGAGCCTTTTTTGTCTTGTCTTTCCTTCCTTTTTGCTTTTTTTCCTTTCTTTGTCCTTTCTTTTTCACCTTTACTTTTTTGTTGTCTAGGTCCTTGACCTTTTAAATAACATTGAGCTTTTTCTTCATTTTTCTTACTGCTCATATCTCTGACACCATTTGCTTAGATTTTTAAAAAATTACTGTATACTTCTTAAGAAAACTTCTTTTTAAGAGTGAGCTCTTGTACACCGGGAAAAACCCTGTTGCATTCTCAAAGTTAAATGACCACTGACTGGATATAAAAGTCAAGGCTTATCGCCACCAAATCGAACAAATTACATTTTTATAATAAATTACGATTATATACTATTATTTATAGTTTTAGTAAATATAAAAGTTCAAGTAAATAAACATTTATTTATGAAAATACTAATGAGATCCCTTCAATTTTATTTTTCCTTAAATTCTGAGATGGCTTTGGAGTAGGCCTCTTTCTCTGCATTTTGTATAATTAACGTGCTATGTACTTTACAGCCTGTTCTTACAGAAGCAAAGGTTTTCTCAGATAAACCTTCTACTCACATAGAACACATTACGGTTTTCCTTTCATCCTGTGCTTTTGCCTTCTGCAGTATTCTCTGTGATCATAAACAAACTTCGACCTGAGAGTGTCTTAGGTAGCTTAGGCATGTCTTAAGTCTTCATAAGAAGCTCGTGGTACCAGAGGGACTGGAGGGAAGTAGGAAGAGTAAGAAAAACATGCCTTGAATCCAGGAAATCCTCCTGAGCATGGAGGTGATTTTCTCTTGTCATTTACACACCTGTTTTTGTCATCATGCTGCCTGAATCAATAATCGTTTGTAAAAGAGCTTCTTTCAGGACAGTGGTGGCAGATAGCAAAAGCTCTAAAAGGTTCACCATCCCTGTTTTAGAAGGTTGCTGCTTATTTTTAACCTTAGATGTGATCAGCCTAAAATGATTGATAATTAAAATATTGTCAGTAGTGTGGTATGGGAATTACACAGTTAAATGAGGTGAAAGGGAAATTAAGATTCCTCTGTCAAATAAGGAAATACGTACACGTGTGTATGTTTTTTACTCTTGGCACTGATTCTCAAATTACGTTTCTTAGGATTACTGGTATTCTGCTACTAAACTAAAATAATATAAAATTATGAAAAGGAAATAGATTGAACACATTGTGTTTGTTTTCTCATAGAATTTTCTTAAACATGCTGAAGTCAGTGAGCAAATGATAAGTAGGAGGAACTTGCAACAGCCTACTTTTGCTTAATTTACCGTTTCTACCACTTATGATTGAAGTAAATAGGTGTTTTGTGATGTTCTAAAACATGTGCAGTGTTAAGGGTACCTTGATACGTGAACATATTTGAAAATCATTGCACTTATAAAAAAAGTAGTTCTTTGAGTTAAAAAGGGTTTACATGGTGAGCTAAGTAGTGTTATAAAGACAAGTTCAATACTGGTCTGCGCAAGAGTTGTCTTGAGTAGGCAGAAGTGACCCTCCTCGGCACGGGGAGACAGCTCAGCAGCACAGCGCCTGCCTGGCAAGCGCAGTCCTAAGTCAAATTCCTGGTCCCAAAAAGAAGTAGTTACCCTCCTCACCCGCATTTGTGTATTCAGAACACAGATTGTTGCTTACTGTAAACAACACTTTTATTTTGTGACCTTACAGGAGCCCAGGCTTGTGTACTTGTGTTTTCTACTACAGACCGGGAGTCTTTCGAAGCAGTCTCCAGCTGGAGAGAAAAAGTAGTAGCTGAAGTCGGAGAGATACCAACTGTGCTGGTACAAAACAAGATTGACCTCTTGGATGATTCTTGTATAAAGAAGTAAGAGGGCTACTTCTTGGGTAGGAGATATGTTAAATCTGTAAAGTTAAAACATTTTGATTTTTGCTTAGATTTATAAAAGTTAGGAAAGCTCTTACATTTACTTGAATTCTAAAGGTTTTACTTAAAGGCCAAAATTTCCTTAGATTTCCTGTGAGCTATTCTTTATGATTGGTTTAGGTTAAAGAAAGAAAAAAAAAGCCTAGTGGGTCACTGTAGATAATAATAATGAACTGTGCATTTCAGAAACCTAGTAGAAAATTTATTGAAAATCTCTACCAGAAAGAAATAGTTTAACCTGATTTAAACATTATACAGTGTATAACTGTATTGAAATATCACCTTACCCCATTGATGTGTACAATTTTTATAGGTTTTTTTGGTTTGTTTGTTTTTTGGTACTAGAACTTGAACTCAGGACCTTGTGCTTGCCAGGCAGGTGCTATGCTGCTGAGCTATATCCTCAGTTCCAAATTTTATAGTTTTATGTGCTAGTTAAAAATTAGCACTTGCTTAGCATGCACATGGCCCTACCTAGGTTTAATCCCTAGCACTGCAAAAAAAAAAAAAAAAAAGAAAAGTACATACATTTTAATTTAAATGAAAAGTTAAAAAATTAAATCTCACACTGATTTCTACATAGAAAAAATTAAAGGAATAAGTTTAAAATGGCCTTTTAGAATTCCAGTCTTAAGTCTTTATACCACGAAGTCAGTCTTTATTAACTTCTTGCATTATTATTTTTGATAGCTTTGAAAATCTTTGCTTGGTTTTTACCTTTTTAAAAATGCATTCTTGGGCCAGGCGTGGTGGCACACACCTGTAATCCCAGCAGGAGGCGAAGGCAGGAGGATCCTTGCGAGTTTGAGACCAGCCTGGGCTACAAAGTGACCTCAAGGCCAGCCCGAACTGCATAGTGAGACCCTATCTCAAAAAAAGACCCCCCCCCAAAAAAAAAGCATTCTTGGGCGGGGGATATAGCTCAGCGACACAGCACCTTCTTAGCAAGCATGAGGTAGTGAGTTTGATTCCCAGTACCAAAAAAAATGCATTCTTAGCTGGGCATGGTGGCACACGCCTATAATTCCAGCACCTGGATGACTGAGGCAGGAGGATCGCCGAGAGTTGAGGTCAGCCTGAGCAACAAAGTTCAAGGCTAGCCTGAACTACATAGTGAGACCTTGTCTCAAAAAAAACCAAACAGTATTTTTCTGTTATCTGTTGGTGTAGAACAAACTAACTCACAATTTAGGGGCTTAAACTAACAGACATTTCTTCAATCACAGTTTCTGTGGGAATCATGATGTAGCTTAGCTGTGTGATTTTGTGTGAGGTTGGGTCCAGATGTTGGCTGGTCTGGTCTGTTGGCTGGTCTGGAGGTGCCAGAGGTTCTGGATCAGAGGTGGCTTTCGTGCATGTGATCAGTGGGCCTCTCCCTAGGCCTGTAGACAGCCTCACAGCACAGCACAACACCACACGGCAGCTGTTCCCCCAGCAGGCGAGCCAAGGCAGAACCCATGCTGCCCCTCTGCTATGTCTCAGAAGTTGCGTGCTGTGCCTTCTTTTGTGTCTTACTGGCACACAGCCCAATCCCTGTGACAGAGTGGGAACGGTGTGAAAACCAGGAGGCAAGGGACCATTTTTGGAGCATGGCGTCTCTGATCACAGTAAAACTAAGATCAGGAGTTTTCATAAAAGTAAATCAGCAAAAAAAGTGAATTAGCCCTTTCTTATAGACTCAACATTAATGTGCTGGCCTTGGCTTTTGGCAGCAAAATTCTTTTGTGGCTGGTGAGAATAAGATGTAATTTAGTGTCAGATTTTTCAGAGTGTAATTAAATCCAAATATTCTTTAAAAAGAGAGGGCCAGGGATGTAGCTCAGCGGCATAAGCATTTGCCTGGCAAGCCTGAGGTCATAAGTTCGATTCCTGGTACCAAAAGAAAAAAATCTTCTAAAAAGAGAAAATGAATTAAAATGATACAAAATGGCATTTAGTTATTTTATGGCTAGAGATTGGAGACTTTATAGGAAAGTGTTCGGTTTACACTTACAGTATCATGGCTGGCGTTTACCCCAAGTGTAGCGAAGATTGAGGATCCCGTTCAGGTGCTTGAGAGTGCTTGGCTTTCCCCTGGCTCTCCCTGGCTGGGCATCCTCTAAAGCTGCCCCAGACAGAAGTGTGAGGAGCCCTGAAGGGCCTGAGGCCTCCGCAGCCGCCAGCCGCACTCAGTAAACGTGATTCAGAGCAGCATGGTCACAGCTGTCAGGAGACACCTTCATGCACTGTTTTAATTGATGTGCAGCGAGGAAGCTGAGGCACTGGCGAAAAGGTTAAAGTTAAGATTCTACAGAACATCAGTGAAAGAAGACCTCAATGTGAATGAAGGTAAATTGCGTCTTTAAAATGTATTTCTTTTTAGTATCATATTTCTTAATACTGTATTTCTTTTTAATGCTTTTCTTCTTAATGCCTTTTCTGTTGTGTTTCTGTGGGGGTTTTGGTCCCTGACACTAACTGAAATTTAAAGGCATCATTTAAATTTATAGCCCTTACCTACTAATGAACACTTGTTACTTTCTGCAGGCAACTCTGGTGGGGCTCATTATCTTTAAAGATCTAAAGTGCAAATGTGTATGCATGTATGTGTTTTCATTCATAACTTATAAAAATCATGGAACTGTTTTAGTTCTCCATGGCAGTAGATACATTATTAGGCCATTACAGTGACCTTGACTTGCTTTCTTATATTTCCCAATTTAAGAGTGGGAGATTGGAGAAAAAAGATAGTGACTTTTCATTCCAGAATTGTTGCCTGTAAGATTGCAACCAAATTGTCACGTGGGTGTTTATTCTGGAAACTTTTCTATCCCTAAAGAAAGTAGACATCTGTTCAGGACTGAGTCAGTTTAGTGATGCTAAGTAGTGGTTATAAGCTGAGTGTGACACACTGCAATTCCAGCACTTGGGAGGCTGAGGCAGGAGGATTACTGTGAGTTCAAGACCACGTAGGGCTACATATAAGTTCAAGACTAGTCTGAACTACATTAGTGAGACTCTGTCTCTAAACACTAGAAATATATACATACATAGACAATTGAAATATTTGAAAGAGAAGAGCTAATGACTAGAAGTATTATTTCTTTACTAATAAAATACTACTGTATGATTATTGCTATTATCATTGTACTTACATACTGCTCAGATAATTTTTGAAAGCTGGAATTTTTATCTAGATTGTTTCTAGTTCTAATTTAATTTTAAATTTGTTTAGTAAATATAAGTATTATAAGTAATATTTGCATAAATCATATTGACATAGTGTGTGTTTATTCTAGTTTTTAAATATTTGGCTGAAAAATATCTTCAAAAACTCAAACAACAAGTAGCTGAGGATCCAGAACTAAGGCATTCAAGTAGTAACAAAATTGGTAAGTACCCAGGAAATTTTAGTCCATATGTACCAAGTATTTATCCTCCAGTCATTATTATTATATTTACTTTTTTATATGTAATGCAGACATTTCTAAAGAAATGTTATTTAAAAAGTGTTAGATTATTGATTATTGAAGTATCAGATCTCTTGTTAAAAGGTAGATTGTATTAAAAGGGTTTTTTTTTTCAATTTATGAATCCATTTAATACAGTAAATACAGCAGAGATAAATTTTATAAAGGTCTGTCCTTTATAGAAAAGAATTGTTTTGTTTTTTGAGACAGGATCTCACTATGTAGTTCTTGCTGAACTTACTGTGTAGTCCAAGCTGGCATTGAACTCATTGTGATCCTCCTGCCTCAGCCTCCTGAATGCTGGGATTACTGGTGTGCATCACCGTGCCTGGCTAGAAAAGAGCTTTAAAATACCTGTTCTGATACTGTGCTTGTACATTCCCTCTGCCATCTTGCTCATTCCCTGTTACTGATTCTTTTGCATGTTAATGCCCGCGAAATTTCAGCAGCCCATGGAATGAGTGTGTTTCGCGTTTGTCATGGTTGCTGCCTGCTCTGGCTTCCCAGAAGCTACGAACTGAGCTGCTGGCTCCCCGGCCTCTGTGTGGTCTCTTGACTTTGCATCTGCCTTCCCTTCCTTGCTCACATGCGTACGCCTGTGTGCTGTGAATGCAGCTGTCCCCTCGCTTCTCACTCCTTTTTCTTGTTTTGCCATTTTTCTTGCATGCATTGCTGCTGTCAGTAACTGCACATGCCTGTGAACCAAGATGGGGCACTTGCAGTCTGAGCCTCTGTCAGGTCTGATCCTCTTGGCCCCGCCCTGGTCTCCTTGTGGCCCCTCGCTTCACTTAGCATTTGGTCCCCTTGTCCATGTCTCCTGGGTGCTGCACCCGTCACTGCCTGCTTTATCTTGTTGTTTTAGCTTAAACAAGAAAAAAGGCTGTGTTTCTACCAGCTTTTACATATACAGTGTTTTATTACCATAAAACTCACAAATACTGTTACCTACAAATCAGTTATTCTCCAGGGAACTATGTGATGTGACGTTATTAAGGTGGTTATGTGTACTGATTTCACATTTCAAAATAGGTTGTTAGTGAAAAAATACAGACTGGTGTACAGAGTATGCCATGGTTTAGATAGAAAAAGGGGAAAAGAGAACATTTCTCTTGTGTACACATGAAGTCCTGGAAAAATGTGTGGGAGAACTGAGAGTGGCCACCTGGGGAAGAGAACCAGCATGGGAGGGGCTGGAGAGGGAGGATTCACTGGGGCTCCTTGAACTCTCTGCGTTGGCCTTTTTGTCATTGTTGAGAAGGGGTCTCGCTGTGTTGCCCAGGCTTGAACTCACGACAGTGAGTATAAAGGACTACAGGGCACGCATCACCATGCCCATTTTATATGAGCTATTAAAAGTCAATGGAACAAGCAGGGTGTGGTGGTGCATGCCTGTAAATCCAGTGCTTGGGAAGCTGAGGCAGAAGGAGTGCAGATCCAGGTCCTGCCTGGGCAACTTAGCAAGACCCGGTTTCACAGTGAAAAATAAAAAGGCATAGGGATGTAGGAAAGTGCAATCCCTGGTACCTCCAGTAAATAGAGATAAATAGACAGCTGGTAATGGTGACATGGGCCCATAGTCCCAATGCTTAGGTGGCTGAGACAGGAAGATCATGGGTTTGAGCCTAGCCTAGGGAACACAGTTGAGATATCTTAAATAAATGAAACAAAAATAAAAGGTTAAAATATTAAATACTGAAATGTTTACTGACATGTGAATGGATAAACAAAATGTCATACACAAACACACACACCTTAAAAAGGAGGGAAATTCTGCAGTATGCTACAGCCTGGATGATTCTTAAAAATACTGTGGTTGTCATGGTTTAGATCTAGATGTCCCCCCCCCCCCCAATCCTCGTGCAGTCACAGGTGGTGCTTTTTCAGAGGTGGCTGGATCTAGAATGTGATGCAGGGATCAATTCATGGTGCAGTGCTTGGCTCAAGGACACTAGGATTAAAGGAGTGAGTGCTACCCACCCTGAGTAACCTTGATAAGATCTAAGGGGTAGAAAGAGCTGAGTTGTCCCTTGCTTGCCTTGATATCTTCTGCCCACTATGAACTGTTTCTCCTCTGCCATGCCACCCTGCCTTGGAGCCAGCTGATGATGGACTGAAACCTCTGTAAGCTGTAAGCTAAATAAACCTTCTCTCCTTTAACTTTGGGTGTAGAGTGTTTTGTCTCAGCAACAAGAAAAGTAAGTAGGACAGTGCTAAATGAAATGAGCCAGACGCCAAGAGATGGCAGGATCCCACTTAGATGGAGTATCAGAGTTACGGGAGAGAGGGGAGTGGTCGTCCTCAGCTGGTGGGAGGGGAATGGAGAGTTACTGCTGAACAGCTGTGGAGCCTCAGTGTTACAGGTGCAGAGGCAGTGGAGGGCATGGTGGCTATGGCTGTGCATCCTCATGAATATTTAACACCACTGATTCACACTTAAAAATGCTTAGGATACCTGGGCCCAATGCCACAGGCCCAAATCCCAGCACTGTGGGAGGCTGAGGCAGGTGGATCACAAGTTCATGCCTAGTTTTGGCAACCTAACAACTTAGTGGAGACCTATCTCAAAATGAAAAATAAAAAATGAGCTGGAGGTGTAACTCAGCACCAAGCCTTCGGTACCCTAATCCTGCCCCCCTAAAAAAGATGGAGAGTAAATTGTGGTGTTTAATACAATAAAATGAAAACATAAATACTTGAAAATACTCTCTGCATGCTTCTGGTACTCTGAGGTGAATCAAAGTCAACCTCTCTGTTTTCTCTCAAACCATACAGGTGTCTTCAGTACATCTGGGGGCAGTCACCTGATTCAGAGTTCAAGTACCCTCAACGGCGGGGACGTCATCAATCTTAGACCTAACAAGGAGAGGACCAAGAAAAACAGGAATCTGTTTAGCAGCTGTAGCATACCCTAAATGTTTAGGGGGGAAATAATTGAATTACATTCCACAATTCACTAAGAAACACACCCAGGCGTCACGGTATGTTCAAGCGTTTTAGCAGACTTAGGCCTGCTGGCTCCCTGACAGTGACACGTTTAACATTGTGCTTTCCAGAACATGGAGTGAGACCTCTGGTGGAAATATTACTGCGCTGTGGACTCATTTTAATTTTTTTTTTAACATTAGATGAACCTTGTCCTGTATTTGAAGGAATGCTGTGAGAAATAGCAAAAGCAGGTTTTACTAAATTGTAAATGCTGAAAACGTGAATGAATGTCTAAATGTGTTGGTCCAGATTTTAATATTGTGCATCAAGGAAAGAGCAAGCGTTCTTTTTCTGCAGCCGGCCATCTAGCTTTTCTGGGAAGTAGTACTGAGCCTGACTACTTACAGAAAAGTCCTCCTGTGTGGTAAACTGCACCCTGCAGACTGCATCCGTGTGTGCAGGACAGCATCCCTGTGCAGTGTCTGAATGCGGGGTGGGCGGACGCATGCGGAGAGCTGTGTAGAGCACATGGGAGGCCTGTGCAGGGCTCAGGGAAATGTAGATGGTACCGTGTGTGCGATCAGTTACACACTGTGTGGGTGTAAGCTTTTATCCTCAAGTAAGGAATTCCAGCTCTGTATTTTGCAGAATGAGCTTCAACTAAAAAGTGCTTCGTGCCAAAAATATTAACCTAATTTTTACAGCGCTTTACTATCAGAATTTATATTTTTTTCCTCTGTGGCAGATTCATAAAAGAGGGCTGTGTAGGTTTTAAGCCAGAGGTCTCTCTGGGAGACGCCCTGTCAGCCCTTTCCCGTGTGGCCGCTGTCAGCACGGAGGCTCGCACCATCCTCGGACTGCCGTGTCCCTGGAGCTGTGCGGCAGCTCTGTGGCTGCTCAGGACATTTGTGACAGTGCCTGAGCAGCCAGCACTTCGCCTGCTGACCAACAACTCATTTTAAGATTATGCTAACCATTTTTTAAAATGCATAAACGGTTATCTTTAGCCCTAATCCGAACTGTGGATTTTATAATGCCCAGCAACTCTAAAGCATCCTTTTGTTTACACATTTTTGTACGGTACTGTATTTTAAGGTTATTGCCTAAAATCTTCTATTGCCTTTGGTTTGTATAGCACTTTCTCAAGAGCTCTGGCAGTACTACATAAAGAATAATTTAAGTGATCTGATATGTAATGACATAACAGAGCATGTATTTTGTGATTTGGGGCAGTAACCTTCCAAACAGAGGTAATGAAACTCCATAAAAACTGATTACCAACCTAGGCATAGTAGTGATCCCAGCACTTGGGAGGCTGAGGCAGGAGGATCAAGAGCTTAAGGCCGGGCTGGACTGTATAGCAAATTCAAGGCCAGTCTGGACCACTTAGTGAGACCCTGTCTCAGAAGCAAACAATCCCCTAAAACATCCTGATTATCATTCATCATCATTTATTATTTTGTATTACTGGAGATTAGCCCCAGGGCCTTCACACTGAGCTGCTCCCTAGCCCTTCGTATTTGACACAGAGTCTCCTGAATTGCTCAGGCTTGGCTCAAACTTGTGATTTTTCTGCCTCAGCCTCCTAGAATGCTAGGACTACAGGTATGAGCCTGGCTTAGTAGTTTTAATGTATAAATAACCCCTTTCAGTATATCTGGTTTTTATAAGATCGCTAAATACATAAAAATAACTTCTTGGAAACTGTGTCATGAAGTCATTTTTCATTATTTTGTACTAAATACATGAGTATTTTACATTTCTTTTCTGGGTTTTTTGGGTTTTTTTTGGAGTCTCCCATTTGTACCATCTCCATCCTCCTGCTCAAACTGAAGCAAGAACATACTAGAATGTCCTAGGGTGTGTCCCTGGTAAGTGGTCCAGAGCAGCGGTTGCTTTTCATAGCAAGTTGTTTTCGCAAACAACCTGGTGTTATCTTTCGCAGAGTAATAGTACAGGTGTTCCTGTTTCCGTCAGCAGTTGTCAGCGTTCGCATTGCTGGCAGTGGGAGAAGTGTTGGGGGAGAGCTCAGTTCCTAACAACCTGCTAGTGATTTAACTTTTTTTTACTTTTTTCAGGTAGTCTGTTTAATTTTTTCACAAATTATATGTTCTGGCAAATCTTCATCTTTAGTGGCAGAAAAGTTACTCATAATATGGTGCAGTTCTATTTCACACTGATCAATGTTTGTGGGTGAAAATATGTTCCTTTTCTGTATCAAAAATGTAATCTCTGGTGATAGTTACTTGGTTACATCTTTTTTTTATAAAAATGGAAGATATCTTTGTTACATATTTGAATTTTTATTTTTCATTGCTATATTTTACACCTAACTATAGTTATTTTATTTTATTTTATTTGGTATCAGGAATCAAACTCAGGACCTAGCACTTGCCAGGCAGGCACTTATGCCACTGAGCTACATCCCTGGCCTGTAGTCATTTTAAATAAGTAGGTTTATCAGTTCACTTCTAAAACCTTCAAAAGTCACAATGATTTTTCCCTTTGTGCCTCTTTAATCTTTTAAATAACCTTACTATAATTTGTAACAAAACCATGGATGCTGAAGAACCTGCCGCTCCTGAATCCCCTTCCCGTGTCGAGTGTGCTTGTCCTTGACCTGCTTTCTCACTGTGGTGGCCCTCGGCAGAGACAGGTCTCGGGGAGGAACTGCGTCCTTGGAGTCCCTCACTCCTCCTCTCCGGTCTCCGCCTGTGGAGAGCGCAGTAGCACAGAGTAGCACTCACAAGGGCACAGTTCATCAGGTGAAGGGGTTTTCTTCTGCCCAACTTGGTAGCACACAGGTACTTTTTCAGAGTGGGGCTAATACTACCAAAAAGAGGGTGATGGATTCGTGCCGTGGTGGGGTGCAGTGACTGTGGGGCTCAGAACACAGTGATGTGTCCCCACTGTGTCTGAAGATCTTCGAGTGAGAAGTGTAGCTTAGTACCTAATATCCCAACCTAAAAGTGCTGAATTCTTGGACTTCCTTTTTTTTGGATACCGGGAATTGAACTCATGACCTTGTGCTTGCCAGGCAGCTGCTGTGCCACTGAGCTATGTCCCAGGCCCCCAAATGTTAAATTCTTAATTCAAGATACTGTTCGCACCATCCTTTCAGCTCCTGTGCGTGGTTACAGATGATGATACGCTGGAGGTGCCCACTAGGGCGGCGCTCATGGCTGCTTCTCCAAACGCAAAGTGGCCTGCTGGGGAGCGTGGCCCCCACTGCCCAGTGACCTAATAAACAGTTATGGGTAGCTGTGTACTGTGGTCACTTTGTAGGCTGTCACATACAAAACTCAAATCTGTCATACAAGTGAATTGATTTGCAAACAGATATTTCAGTTATCAAGCTCCTGGCGAGTGATTTGGCTGTAATCTTAGTTGGTGTTCCCATTCCCATATCTATGGAAGGGTCTTGGTGAAAGATACTAAAAAAAAAGAAAATGGGTCAACGACCCCTGCTATGTTTTTGTTGCTTAATAAATAATGTTTGTAAATTTAAATGGAAAACCACTTGTGCATAATAGTATTGGGTTGCAGTTATTCCCTTGAGCTTAATTTAAAATATACTCCTTGATTAAACTTTCAGTGAACATGACTTCCAGTAATCAAAAAATAAATGCATTTCCAAGCTAGGATCTTGTGTGCTCCACGTGATGTGCGTCACCAGTGAATCCTATTTACAGTAAGAGGCGTAACGTGACTTCTTTAAAAATCTGTGTAACTTCTTTTCCATTCAGATACTTTTCAGTCGCCACCATACTCATTTTTGTAGTAGTTATATGCGGTAAGTCTCCCACTTAGGCACGAGTTCCGTTCCCAGAGAACATCCTCGCGTTGGATTCGTTCCAGTCCGACAAAGTGAGTCTGCGGGTTCCCCTGTGAAGGTGCGCAGCCCCGGGACTTACTCTAATGCAACTGAGTAGTGCTGTGGTTTACACAGTTTTACCCAGGGAATTATTTCTTTTATAATGTCATCACTGTCAGTCTTCTAAAGAAAGTTATTTTGTCTTGTTTTGTCCTGTGGTGTAAAGTAATGATGGTTTTTTTGGGGCGTGGGGGTGGGTTGAGAGGGTCTAACCATGTAGCCCAGACCAGCCTCGACGTGGCACTCCTCCTGCCTCAGCCTCCACAGCGCTGGGACTGCAGGCGTGCCTCACCACCATGCCTGGCTAATTCTGATCCGTGTAACACGTGCTCCCCGTGGGCCCGGCCCTGCATGGGCTGCATGTGGCGTCGCTCAGAAGAGGGCCTCCTGGATCTCTAGCCGGAGAGGGGTAGGGGTGGGCGTGGGCAGGCTGCTTGCGCGTGGGGTCCGCCTGTGCCACGCCGGCCCGCCCTCTGCTTCCTGCGTGTGGGACACGTACATAGAGCACGGGCTGAGCTCACACTTTCTCGTCTTCGTTGCCTTTCTTTTCCAAGGTTCTCACTTCTTTTAGCTGTATTTTGTATCTGTAGATGGCCTTCAAAAATAGCACTACCACACGTGCACCTAGGCACCTAGGGCGTGTCGTTTGTCCCGGCCCTCGCAGGGCACAGGGGCACGAGCGCGCCTCCGAAACCTCCCTGCGTGTGTGCCGCTGCTCGGGGAGAGTGGGGAGAAGTGCGAGCGGAAGGCGGTGCGGCGCAGGGGTCACGGGCGGGCGGCCCTGCAGGGCAACTCAACTGTGTGTTCCTGAATGTTCACAGTGTTGGCGAAGAAGAAGGCGCGAGCAGTCCTCCTGGGACAGGGACGCCGGTCGGAGTCCGCGGGACCGCGGGGCTTTGCCGGGCAGCGCCGGACTCCTCTCTGCTGTACAGAAGTCCAGCTCAGTTTACACTGAGATGCATAAAATCCATGTGGGTCTTTTTACACTAATAAAAACCGAGTTTAAAATACTGATTTCAAAGCAGCACATAGACAAGCACTAATGTTTAGCAAGTAAATGTTCTGTGGTTGCTTCCTTTCTCACAGATTAAGGATCAGCACATCCGTCTGCCTTATTAGGAAGCAAGATGCAAAGTAAATGAGGTGTTTTATGTCTGTTACAAAAATTCAACGATCAGTGTTGAAAAGATTTCAATGAAATGGCTACATTTAATTACTGAAGAGTAGAAACTGATAGGACTTTTATACAGAAAGTGTAGAAATAAGTGTTAGGCCATGAAAACGTATATCCCCTTTGACCCAGTACACCCCAAGTGGGAATTTATACAGAGATAAAGCTCTGCACGTGAATATCCTTAGGAACAGCACCAAGGTGGGAAAAACCTACACGTCCAAGAAGAGGGAAATGGACCCATAATTGTGGCACAGCTACACAAAATAGAGCTTTTAAATTGACAGGCACCATTCCAAGAAGAAAAGACTAGTTATAACATAGAAATTTCAGAAGAGTGCATTTGAGAGACAAAGTGGATATGTAATTAATCACACTGGTAAAACTGAAGGTGACTTTCTCCTGTTGTATGCCTAGTGTCCAAGTATGTAAAAATATATTAGGAGATGCATAAATCTTTAGCTTCAAAATAATCCAGCACAGACACCGAAAAACACTGAGTGGGAGCGTGTGGGAGGGGCTGCCATTATCCCTGAGCCCTCTAGGCACCCTGCACGCTTGGCCCCAGGCCCTGGGAGCCGCCGAGCCCTCCCTTCCTTCACGTAATGTGCGCATCTACAAAACAGAAAATATGTAGAGCCAGGTCCTAGTGCGAGGCAAGAATTCAGTCTAAAAAGTCCATATAATTAAAATACTAGTTTTAATTGAGCCGGAACACCCTGACACGGCAGTAGCTTCCTCATCTGCAGTACCCTATCAGCGGTGACACCTAACAGAGCATCAGTAGCATCCTGTCACCCTTACACGACCCTCTGGCCTGCACGCTCGAGGACTAATTCAGCCTGCTCTCGGCATTTGCTTGCAGAGCTTTGGAGCCGATGCCTTTCGAATGCTCCAGCAGCTTGATGGCCTTGTCCGAATTCTCGATATTTCTAAGCAGAGTCTCTAGTCTTCTCTTGATTTTCTTCTGATCCTCAAGAGCACAACCAATCACTATGGACTGAAACTTCTGATCCACCGGCCCGGGTGGCACCTCAGAGGAACACGCGCTGTACAGCGACATTAAGTGACTCTTGGCGTTGGCCAGGTCATCCAGGAACTTACTGAGCACGTCATTGATGATCTGCGTGGCGTGTTTTAGGGACTCTTCCTGCTGCGGGCTTCTGATTGTTTCTACCGAAACTTCAACGGTGAGGGTTCGTCCCATCAGACGGTTCGCAGTCAGGTTTAACTCTTCCCGTTCTCCTGAACACAAAAGGTTGTGAAATACCAATCAGCAGGGACAGAAACTATCCACCACAAGAACACCAAGGTATTCGGTGGTGCCTAACTTTACCTTTTAATCACTTCTGCTATGGAACTCTTTAAAAGTAAAGACTAAAATTCTAGCACACAAGTAACTGAGGAGTGTTAGCCTGGAGAGCAAGGGTGCAGAGTGTCTTTCCCTGAAAATCCACGCGGACACCGGGTGGCGGGTGCCTCAGGTCTGCACGGGTTGGGAAGCTCTGCATTTAGCAGACAGTGAGCAAAAAGTGGAAGTAGGGCTTACGCTGGGAAGCACTGCAGAGGTCGGACGTGCCCAGCTTCCAGTGAGAAGTCAGGCGGGACAGTGGAGGAGGAGCTGGCCTCGGGCTGGGGCCCAGACTTCAACCCCTCCCGGACTTGGCTGACCCAGGCCAGAGGTGAGGTCGTGGCCAGTGTAGGACGGAGCTCTGTCAGCTGTGCACTGATCTCCATGTCCCGTTCCACAACTGCCTTCCTAACTCACCAGGCCCTGGCCAGGCCGGTGAAGAGACCGAGCGACAGCATAGGCATGAGTGACAGTTTGGTCTTGGGTCAGACTGCTCAGCTCACCAGCTGCCTGGCCCTGGCTGCCCTGTGGAGACCGAGGACCCAGCGGGAAGCCTGGTGCTCGTGACAGGGACCCACAAGGGACCCGCCCTCCGTGGACAGCCACACACTCCTGCAAAGGCGACAGTGCAGTCTCACGTTAGTGGGTGTTCTGGTCCTACACCTCTGCCCTAAATTTCCCCCACTTCTCTCCACTCACACCTCAGCTCCACCCCTCTGTCTAGGCCTCTGGCCCTGCTCCCCTGTCACCTGCTGCTTTTCGTGTGCGGCAGCGCAGGACCTGCCAGGCACCGGAGTGGGGACTGTGAGGCCGAGGGCGCGAGCACACACAGCTGCACCGCGCGGGCCGTGGGGGCGGGGAACTCGACCGCCGGCCCCCGCAGCCCCCCGCCGCCGACCAGCAGGACCCCTGCAGACCCTGCAGAGGAAGCGCCACGGCTCTCACCGTCACTGATCTGCCTCATGTCCTGGCTGTTCTGGATGCTGTGGATCATCTCCAAGAGGACTTCCTTCTCCTGCTCAACAGCAGTCGCTGCTTCCCGCAGAGCTTCAACCCTGCGTAATTGGGGAAACAAAGGTCACCATTGCATTGTTCTTCCTGTGCCTGCATCCCAACTCGAATCTAAGATCATTGGGAGTGCTTTTTGAAACAGTTTGTTCATTTTTAAAAATGACCAGGTATGGTGGTGCATGCCTGTAATCCCATTACTTGGGAGGCTGATGTAGGAGGACAGCAGCAAGTTTGAGGCCAGCCTGGGCTACATAAGCAAGTTCAAATGAGACTGCTTCAGAAACAAAAACATTCCATTTTTTTCTTTGAGAGCAGAGTCTCGCTATGCAGTTCAGGCTGGCTCTTGTAGCAATCTTCCTGTCTCAGCCTCCCCAAGTGGATGAATGCTGGGATTACAGGCGCACTACTCTGCCCAGCCTTTTTTTATTTCCAATTTACTTATTTTGCTCTGTTTTCTATTTTCTCCCTGCTCAGAGGGCAACTGTTCTATTTTATTTGCGTTATTTGTGTATTTGTATATTTTACATTTCTATCGGATTCGGTTTTTTTCTTTTTGTTGCACTATTACTGTCTTTCTAGGACCATCAGGTTTCCTGGGCGTACTCCTAAGCACCGGTTTCCGGTGCTCTCTAATGTTCCATGTGTGGTCCCATCTGATTGCACCTCTTTCTGCTCCAGGGGGCCATCAGGCTGCCCGCCCACTCTCGGTATAAATCACCCCCTCCGAGGTTTCCAGGTGTGACTCTGTATACCCAGATGTGAACAGATGTGCGGTCGCCTCAGCTCTCATCCCTTGTTACAACGGCCTGCACTGGACAGGGTCTCCCTGAGACGGGGTCTTGCGGTGTCACCAAGGCAGGTGTCCAACTCACAGACTGCCTCGGCTTCCCGAGGAGCCAGGGTCCAGTGCTCCTGCCCCACTAGGAGCCTCTTATTGGTATGTTTTACCTGACAGTTTATGCTCTGGAGTTATCAGATCTTAATAGATCATAAAATAGTTTTCTCATTAACTTTATAGTTTCAAGTTTTGTGTATTTGCCACTAGAATCTACTCCTGTGGTTAGGTAAGGATTTTGTTTTACTTTGCTCTAACTAGTGAGCCATTTTCCCCTACCCACTTGTACATTAAATTTATCTCTGAAGTCTCTACTGTAGGGGGCAATGAATCTTAGCATATTATTTTAGATAAAATAGTTTTGGTAAAAGCCTACATGGTGCCTTGGGAAGCCTCCCGGGACAGTGTAAGAGCTAATTCCCTAGATCAACACTGCCCAGGAATGTCTCCCCAAGATAAGGGGGCGCCTAGGCCTAGGTGATCCTCCGTGACCCTGCTTGGGCAGTTCCATCTCCTGGCCCTAGGTAAACATTGTAACCATAAAGGAAATGTATGGTTATCTAAAGGGGGACATATAAAACAGAGTACAGAACGTATATATCATTGTGGTTGGGCTCATGACCGGAGCCCGACCCGGTTACATGGCACAAGGAAAACAACATGTGGCCAGGGCTACAACATTCCTCTCTGTTACCATGGAAACCAAAAATGTATATAACCTGGGAACAAAGACAGGTCCACGCCCACTTCCCGGACTTGCAAGTCGGGATGAGAGGTGACCGGTCTAAATTAAAACTTTGTCTGTTCTCTTTGGTCTCTTGCGGAATACAGCCCGAATTTTTGCCGTAACACTACCATATACCGCGGTATTTGATCTTATACCAACATGTGTTTTAAAAGACAGCATCAGCCTTATAATGTGCCCTAATATTTGATAGAGCAGGCTCAGCAGTATTCTTAAAGATAAGCTGCTTATGGACCTTTATTCTCGCATATAAACTTCCCAGCAAGTTTATTTGGTTTTCTAAAAAAAATTACTTAAATCTTTCATAGCCTTTCTTTGACTTTTTGTTTCAGTGTTTGAAGTTTTTTTTTTTCAGTGTTTTTAGGGAGTGTGTGTGTGCAGGACATCGCAGGAGACCAGACCCGCTCTCTCCTGAGACACAAAGCCCTTGCCATGACCTCGCCTTCACCTTGTTCCCTGAGATGCACAGAGCTGGCTACGTAGACACAGATGTTCCCCTACTTGGCTAAAAGAATGTGATGGAGTCCAGCCTGGGCACCGGTGGTCTCATTAATAGCAAAGGTGGGAGCCTCCGTGTAACAACTGGAATGGAGGCTCGAGCAGGAGCCTGTGAGAGTGCAGGGTAAGACATGAGACAACCTCTCGGCTGCGGCCATGGGACTCAATGACACCTTCCCGGCGCTAAAGGTGCCAGCCTTGCACACATCAAAACTATCCATGCACTGCTGACTGGAGGCCTCTGTGCCTGGCACGGCTACAGTTTCTTCTTCCTATGCGCTCTGCTGCAATCCCACCCACCTCCCTGACTGATACTAACAAAAGCCATGAGCTTTTGGAGACAAAGCCTTTTCTTCCAGAGAGAACAGCGGGTCACCCCAGAGTGCCTCAACTGCAAAACTTTTGCTCTTTGCCTTTCTTTTTCATCTGTGTGCCGTCTGCCGGGTGGGTGGGACTGAGACCCTTCGCAGGGGCTTCGGTGATGCGTGCTGTCCACACTCCCTGGGCGGGCCCGGTGCACGTCCACAGCACAGCTTCACTCCTCTTCTCATCCCTTTCCCTCCCTCTCCATTCATTTCTTGATCCTCATTTTTTTTTCTTTCATGTTTACAGTACACATGAGACAAGTTATTGTCCAGACGGGCCTTAAATTTATGATTCTCCTGCCTCAGCCTCCTAAGGGCTGGGATTCCAGGCATGTGCTACCATGCCTGGCTTTTATGAGAATTTTAAACATTCTTCATAGTAGCTTTGTGGGTATTTTTGCTAACATGAGTGATTTTAATTACATTTTTTAGTCAATTATTGCTGTTCCAGAAATGCTGTTCAACTTGTAACTGGCAACATTTATTTACACGTGTTAATTTCAATGGTCAATCTTTGGCTGCATTAGTTCTTTTTTCTTGGATGCATTAGTTCTAACAGGCTGATAGTGCAATCATCTGCGAAAGAAAAGGTGATAGCTTTTGCCTCTTGCTTTCCGACCCTGCTCCTTATCTTGCCTTCAGGGCACTGAAGAGGCCCGCAGCGTGCAGCAGGGCAGTGGTGGTGTGTGTGTGGCTGCCTCTCTGTCTGGCGGTCAGAGGGAGCCAGCTCGGCTTCTGGGGTGCAGCCCTGATGGAAGACAGAGGCACCACATCAGGTCACTGAGAGCCGGGGCTGCAGCAGCACTATGGCCAAGCGGGAAGAACGTGCAAATGTAAAGCTCTCTCTCTCCACAGCACTCTCTCGCTGCAGGTCCCAGAAACTGAGTGGCCGGATTTTGTGGGCTGAGATGACGGGCTTGTCCTCAGCGTCTGGGTGATCCAGAAATCTAAGATTAGGGCAGAGCTCATCTACACGCTGCCTTCCGTGGGCACAGAAGGAACGAGTCACCCGCACTGTAGCACGCGTCCGTTCCAACACAGGCTCCCGTCCCAGCCGCACACATGCTTTCCCACCACCACCTGTTACCCCAGAATAGCACCCGGTCCGCAGCCAGGGTGGCTTCATTCTTGCAGATAGGGGATCTGTGTGGGACTTGGTACTCGGAAGAGCCAGTAAGTAAAGGACCTGGCAAGAATGTGACAACCCTGCTGAAAAACAAACAGGGCTCCTTAAGGCAGGACACATGCAGCCTCAGCCCCTCTAGCTCATTCTTTACTCAGAGGTTTGAATCAGCAGAGTGACGTACGCTGCAGACCAGCACACCCGACAAAGACCGAGCTGGCACTAAAGGAAATGCCTGTGCTAAATGTCAGCCGTGACTCCAACATTTCGATAAATGACACAGACGTGACCAAGGGATGAGAAACTGACGCAAGAGTACACTAACTTTTCAACACGCAAGTCTGCACTCAGATCCAAGCTGATAAAGAGAATAGAATTCTATTCTAAAAAGGAAGGCTTCATTGACAACAGTTATTTACAATAGTGCATTTGTGGAGTTAAGAATGGATTAAAAGAAGACAAAAGAAAAAATATAAATCTATGAAAATATTCCATCATTAAATAATACCAAGTGAAATTAAAACTGTTTAGGCTTTGTGAAAGATTTTTTTCCCCCACAAGCCTTCTTTACCTGTTCATAGAAATTACCAGGGTTAGCTGGCTGTGGGGGCGCATACCTGTAATTCCAGCAGTCCTGAAGCTAAGACAGGAGCATCACCTCAAGTTTGAGGCTAGCCTGGGCTCCATAGTGAATTCAAGGCCACCTGAACTACATAATGAGACCCTATCTCAACCCCCACAAAAGGAATAAAATTACCAGGATATTTTCCCTGTGAAAAACAGATCTCACCCATAGAAATTCTTATGTAATTTTTATTTCATAGCAGAAGCAGAAATTACTCGTTAGGCTGTGAAGACTGCTGGGTTTTGGCACTGTGGGCCTTTGTGTGCTATTTTGTCTGCCTGCAACATTTTTTCTCCATGACCCTGGTCAGCCAAGTGATCACTTTTAAAGCCCAGGCCCCTGGGCAGGCGCCCACACAACCTGCCTGCCTTCTCCTTGGAGCAATCCACACCCCCGCCAGCTCTGTGCCTCTGCTTACAGCTTTTCCTTCTCAAAAGCTGAACCCAGATCTCCACTGAGCTTATTTGAAAATACCCGTATTGTTTATCAGTTAACACTATCCTTACTGGTATAGTTTTTTTTAAGCTATGTCGTTTCCTTTAGTTCTACAAAATTCTCAGCTGTTGTGTCCCTGACCATTCCCAGTCTCCCTGTTATTTTCCTTCTGACTGCTGACTCTGCTTGGATAAACCGTCTCACTTTACCCTTCCGATTTCTTCATATCTCATCTGATACCTCATGTGACAACGCTTCTCTTAGCAGCAAGGCACGTTAGAGTCCCGGCGGGAAGGAATTTATCCTCCTCTGCAGCGCGGCTGGGCTGGGCCACGCTCCTGAAGATGTTGTCAGAGTCACGGGAAGCAGCTTCCCCCACCGCTCCCCCAAAAAGCCGCACTCAGCCTAGTGATGAGGACAGAAGCAGAGCAGTCGCCCGTGGCAACCAGCCTCAGGTCCACAGTCACCGCCGCAGCCTGGGTGCAGAGGGGGACAGCTGGTGGCCTCGGAGAGGGCCGGGCAGCGTGGGCGAGCTGTGGGCCCGAGCAGCTGCTCTTCAGCCCGCCCCTCACCTGTCCACCGCGGGTGATGAGGCGCTGGTGACTGAGGTCACGCGTGTGGCTCGCCGAACCGGGCGGCCCTGGCTTCACGGTGACCCTGTGCGCCTGGTGAGCAAAAGCTCAGCACCAGGAACAGAATCTGCGCCTCCGGAAGTGGGGGAGCGGGCCAGGGCGCGTTCTCACGGCTTCATCTGCAGTGATTTCCGAAGCAGGTTCTCAGACTCAGAGCTGCCTCGCGTTGATACCGGGTCGAAGGACGCTAAGCCACCTGGCTAGTGTTCTAGCAGCCTGCAGAGTCTGAAGGGCTTTTCTACCCGTCAGAGTGTTAGATTTCATCAGCCGGGTTCAGTGCTGGCCCCCGCAGGCCTCCGAAGGTCTGCACGCCCGGTCTGAGACGGAGGGTGCGGCTCCCGCCTCGCGGGCTAGGCGCTCTGAAATTACAGGGCGGCCCCGCTGTCCTGCGTTGTGAGTCAGCGTCCCCGCGGGACTGCGGGCGGTGAGAAGGCGGCACAGGACGATCGGGTCGGGCCCTGCCCGCTGCCCCTGCCCTCCGCGGAGGCGTGTGCCGGCTGCGGGGACGCGCAGACGCCTCCTCGCCAGCCCTGTCGCCCCTCCCGCCAGTCTCCGCAGGCCAGCCGCTCCGCGCCCGAGGGAACCTCACGGAGGGCTCCGCGTTTACTGGACTAAAGGCCGATCTAAATAGAACAGTCACCTATGCGGCGCGTACCAGCCTCCACTGTGAAACAGGACACATTCATTTACACGTTCGGGCGTCCTGGTGAGGCCTGACAGCCAGCTCAGCGGCGGGGCCGCCGTCCGGCTGTGTGGCCAGGGCCGGGCCGCTGACCCCTCGGCCTCGACCACCCTGTGTGACCACGAGTGTCCATCCACCAGGGCAGAGGCCGCCATCCGAACAGTGCACACGCAGCTGAGAAGCCGCAATAGTATCCAGAGCCCATGGAAACAGCCATGAAAACGCCGGGAAAGGAGGCACCTCCTTAGGAGGAAGCAAGAAACCACGAGATGCAAAGTTTAAAGACAAAAAAAAAAGACTAGTGTAAAGACAAAAGTATTAAGAACCAATGACAATTCTTCCAAGCCCGTAGCGTGGGCCAAGTATTTCCAAGCATTTCAAGCACCACAGAGGCCTGTTCATGCTCAGTCATAAAGCATGCGGGATCACCGTGTTTCCAGCTTTAAATGGAAGAAATTTCATCCACAGCCGCCAGCGCTGGATCCGGGGCTGAAGAACCCAGCGCAGACGCGCACAGCGCCCAGTCCCGCGACCCCAGGACACTCCGTGAAGCTGAACCGGAGCAGGGCGACGCGAGAGCCCCGCTTGTCCTCTGAGAAGCCCCCTTCCGGGCACGAGTCTGGTTTTTAGGGCGTATAGGCTCTGCTGCTGGGTGCTTTCAAGAAAAGCTTTAACAGGTGCAGCCTCGGCTTTTTGTGCGTGTGGGTGCCGGGTGTCGAACTCGGGACCTCGCGCTGGCCAGGCGGGCGCTGCGCGGCTGAGCTACAGCCCTGGCCCCCACTTTTCTATTTTTGCTTATCTTGTGAAATCCTTCTTAGATGTCAGTCAGCATTACATGTTTTAAGGAAGAAGCAAACTTACAAGTCTACATGACCAGGAAAGTCTCTGCAGTGAACGAGACGCACGGTGTCCTCCTCGGTGGGAGGGCTGGACACGCGGTGACCTCACCGCGTCCACGCGGGGATCAGAACTCGCGTCCGGGACCCGCCCGCGACTCTGCGCTCCAGACCCCGGTGCGCGGCGCTCACTCGCGCCCGAGCCGGGGACTCAGCTCGGAGGGCCGCGGTCGGAGGAGGGCCCG